CTATGTTTTTGTTTGTTCATGTATGTTTTGTGTTTGTTGTAAAAATAAAAAAATATTTAAATAAATAAAAAAAAAGAAACTGAATGGTAGATCACTAGGGATTGATCATTAAATGTTTATGTTTTGAACACCCATAACAACTCTCATTTCTCCATCTATCCTCTTGTGTTTTTACTAGCTTGGAACATACACATGGAAAACATTCAGCTTCTCTTTATCTAACCTGATTTCTCCTGGCTTTTAGCAGACAATAGGTAAAGTTGTCAAAGATAAATTACTTGTGTCCTGCCTTTCTTTGTGCATTATGTATCTCTGTGACAAGATATCTCATGTTCTCCATGATAATAGACTATATTTAGATGTAAATCTAACATCACTGATGCTTCTTATTCTGTGTAGAGAATAAGCTGTTCTCTTTTATCTCAACATTCAGTCCATGTTTCATATTTTTCCACACTATTTATTAAAGTATTTAACATAATCATAATACATAAAACAGTGAATCTCAGTTAAATACAAATTTGAAAAAAAAAATGGCTAAGAGGGCCTTTGACCAAATCCATCTTGTGCTCCAGTTGTTCCTTTCCTAGATCAGGAATCCCTGCTCATAGTCATTCGTGCCTTCATCACCTCCCATTTGGACTATTGCAACATGGTCTATATAGACCTGCCCTTGAAAACCACTTGAAAGCTACAACTGTAGGTAATTATGGGAGCATCATGATACACCCATATAACACCTACTTTATGCGCTGCAGTGGCTCCCAGTAGATTTCCAGATACAATTGTTAATTACCAGCTACAAAGTCCTTCATGACATAGGACTGGGTTGTTTGTGGGATCACCTATCTCCAATTATTTCTATCTGTTCCACAAGACCCAACAAAGTGGACATGCTTTGGGTCCCCTGTATGAAATAATGCGATCTAAGGGGACCCAGAAGGTGTACTTTCTCTGTCATAGTACCTGTCCTAAGGAACAGCATTCCCTCCCTTCCCAAAATTCAGATTGGCCTGACCCTGCAAGCCTTTCACAAGGTTTTGAAAACCTGGCTTGTCCCCCAGGCCTTGGGCCAGGGTCTTAGGTGAGCCCATTCTTTAAAGGTTAAGAGAATGACTGTGGTTAGCTTAAGTATGTTATGTTTTGTGTTCGACTTCTGGGGTTTTGTTGTTTTCATTTGCTTGTTTACTTGTTTGTAACCCACTATTAGCCATCCAGAGTTGCAATTGCTAGTTAGGTGGCCATATAAATTGGATGGATGGCAGATGGACAGAAACTTTTCATCCTTTGCATCTTGTTACAATCCAGATAGTAAAGTAGATGTGTCCCAGAATGGGGATGTTCTTTCTCCTACTGACTTGAACATATCAATATGTTTGAGACTAGTAGAGGGGACAAGCTAAGAGTATATGCTTGTTTCTCAGTGTTACTTGTTGTCAGACAAATTACATACATAAATGGTTTCTGACTTTTTCATTCTCTTCAAGCCTCAAAGTACTAATAGTGGGAAAAGCAGAACTGTGCTCAGCATCAAGGTAGAAATTCAAATAGCATGAGCTTGAAAGAGACAGATGTACTCCTAAACCATTATTTGCAAGATGAGGGGAGGGGGCATTGCTAATATACTTTCCCAATGCACATTTTAACATATCACAAAAGCCAAATTTGAGATTTGTTTTGTTATTTGAAAACAATAGGATCAAATATTTAAAGAACAATCTCTTACCTGTCAATTTTCATTAACAGATAACAGAATAAAATATGTAAAGATGTGTCTTGTAAAAAGTGCAGCCTTTGTTTGATAACAAGTCTTAGCACCATTTTTTTAAATAAATGCAGTTTTATCAAGATATTCATGTATATAAGGCATGTAGATCTTTCTCAAGAATAGATGTGATTTGGATTTCAAAGAATTTGGCTACTAAGATCTCTAAAGTAGAGATTCTACCAAAGACTTTCTCTGATCATAACCCTGCGAGTTTGCTTTACAAAAAGAAGTCTACTTCTTTTAGATGGAGGTTAAATGAAATGTTGTTACAGAAAGAAGCAATAGTGGAGGATTGTAAAAGGAAATTAACAGATTTTTTTGAAAACAACCTAAATAAAGGCACTGATTTAAGAATGATTTGGGATACACATAAAGTTTTTATTAGAGGTCATTTCATACAACATAATACTGAACTTAAAAAGAAAAGCCAATTTTGGGTGAGATAAAAAGAAAAGAATTAAAGAAATCTCCATGGAAGATAAATATCTCTCATCAAATTAAACTTTTACAGCAACAGCTATCAATGTTAACAGTAAGAGAAATAGAAATAAAAATGAACTATGCAAAGCAAAAAAAAAAAATTGAATTTGCAATAAACCGGGGAAATGGCTAGCATACAGATTAAGAAGAGAAAAAGAAAAGAAAATGATATTGAAAGTCCAAGAGAGAGACACTTTATTAGCAGATAATGTGGCAATACAAAAGTTTTTCATTGGTATTATTCTAATTTGTATAAAGGACTTGATATTCCTTTGGAGAAAATAGATGAATATTTAGAAAAACAAAACCTACCAATTATTACAGAGAAACGAAGACAGATCATGAATGAACAATAAGGGAAGTTTCCGAAGCTATAAAGATTAAACCAGGAAAGTTGCCTGGACCAAATGGATTATCAGGTTCTTACTGTAAATGTTTTGAAGATGAACTTTTACAATCTCTGCAAAATATGATGAAACTTACTTTACAGGGAGGAAAGATGCCTGAGACTTGGAAAGAGGCAAATAAGCATTAATACCTAAAGAGAGACAAGATTTGACTTCAACAAAAAACTACAGACCGATATCACTATTGAGTGACAACTATAAGTTCACAATGATGCTAGCTGATAGATTGAAAATAATTTTCAAGAATTTATTCATGAAGTTCAGTGTGGGATTACAGTTAAAAGACATTGTCAGAACTGTGCTGGATATTCTAGAATATTTAGAACAGCATAATGAAAAACAAGCTGCATTAATTTTTTTAGATGCAGAGAAAGCTTTTGAAAATTTGGACTTTCCAATTTAAAGTTTTGAAAAATAAGAATTTTGGAGATAATTTTATAAAATGAATAAAATTGATTTATACTTCACAGAAGGCACAAATAATTGTTAATGGAGATTTAACCAAACAATGTGAAAGGAACAAAAACAAAAGGAACAAGACAAGGTTGCCCATAGTCCCCTCTCCTGTTTAGTTTCGTTCTTGAAATATTGAACAGAGACATAAGACTGGATGAGAGGGTACTGAGAATATGGAATAGAGATAAACCCAGGTTGTGCCCGAAAATACCTTTGTAGCTCTCAGCAAAAGAAGTGTTTTATAGAAGAGAAATGGTAAGTAAATATAAATGGTTAACTTATTCTGATATACAGTGGTACCTCGGGTTATGAACACCTCTGCTTACGAACTTTCCGGGTTATGCCCAGCTCTGGCCGCAAAAATTTACCTCGGTTTGCGAACTCCGCCTCGGGGTACGAACCGGATCCGTGGCCATTTTCCACCGTGCCACATGGTCCACGGCCATTTTCCGCCCATGCCACGTGGTCCGTGGCCATTTTCCGCCCGTGCCACATGGTCCGCGGCCATTTTCCGCCCGTGCCAGTGGTCCGTGGCCATTTTCCACCCGTGCCACGTGGTCCGCGGCCATTTTTCTGCCCTTGACGCGTGGTCCGCGGATGTCGGAACGGATTAACGATAATTACATTGAACCTTATGGGAAAATTTGCTTCAGGTTGCGAACAAATCGGGTTGCGACCAGAGTCTTGGAACGGATTAAATTCGTAACCTGAGGTACCACTGTACTAGGATTTTGTCAAGGAGAATGCAAAATAAAATCAAGAGCTAGTGGCAGAAAGTTACACTTGTCAATGAGGTTTTTTTTATGTACAATTATTAGAAAGATTTAAAGTAAATAAAATAACTTTTGGTTTTGAACATTGTAAGACTGAGTTTGAAATAGAATTGTGTACAAGTGATAAACATGTTATTGCTAAAATGTATAATTTTTATTGAAATTTGAAACAGAAGAACAAGTGAAAGAATTATGATAAAATGGACTGCAATTTTTGGTTACAATATACAAATGAAACAGTGGGAGAATATGTGGTTGAAAGGACTGAAATTTATATTATGTTATAATCTTAAAGAGATTTTTTATAAAATGATGAATCATTGGTATATGTTGCCATAAAAATTGTCTAGAATGTATAAAGGTACTTCAAATTTATGCTGGAAATGTAAACAACAAGAGGGGACATTTTATCATGCTAGGTGGATGTGCAAAAAAGCCAGAAATTTTTGGATTCAATTACATATGTTAATACAGAAGATTTTAAAGACTAGCATACAATTGAAACCAGAGATTTTTCTTTTGGGATAAACAGTTGGAAAAAAAACCATGGAACTTTGTTTTTATATATGATAACTGCGATGAGATTATTATATGTACAAAGGTGGAAAGTTTCAACATTACCCAAAATGGAAGAATGGATGGTGAAGATGATGGAGATGACCAAATTGACTTCTTTGATTAGAGAAAAGACATTGTCTAAATTTAATGCTGACTGGAAACCCCTTAGTGACTTTTTGCATGAAACAGAAAAAAAATGAAATTATGATATAAGGTTTTGATGATTAGAAAAAATAGATTATAGAAAAAAATGTAAGTCATGCTCTAACCACAGAGTAAGAGGTTAATTTACATTTATATTTATAACTGCTGTAAAAGAAAATCAGAAGTCATTTCTTTATATTTTCTTTCTTCCTCTTTTTTCTGCACTATATCTTTGTCTTTTTCTTATCTCTTTTTTTTCTTCTCTTTATTCTAAACATTAGTTGTTCTCAGTTTTTATCTTCTTCAAAATTTTAATGAAGTTATATATTTTTTAAAAAGATATTCATATCTATCTATAACTCTATATCTGAATTAGATGCTTAAGGTTGTAGAACTGAAGAGAGGTCTGTCAACCAGGAGACAATAATCTCTACTTCCTATTGAGAGCAGGGCAAAGAGAAGACTAACCTGCCTTCATTCAGTAAGAAAATAGAATTAGGAAAATAGAAGGAAAAACTATAGGTTTTTACTTTCGTGTTCTTTTCTCATTCCCTTTTCTTTTTGTTTCAACCTGTCAGACATTGTCCTGAGTTGGGACTGTTTTATCTTTTAATAGAGAGGGGACTCTGTTTCAATGGTTGAACAGTTACTTTATGTTTAGAAGATCCCAGGCAGCAGAATAATGAAAGAAACCTTGTTGCATTGTGCCACCAGAGCCATCCCTTTCACTACACACATACACACAGAGTGGGACTTGCATTGAAACACCACAACGCTGAATTTGTAACTCTGCCTTTGCCTCCTGTCTCCTCATTACCCCATCGCACCCCACTCTGACAGATGCTGCTGATCCCAGGTTCAGTCTGGGAGATTTTCAGGTAGCCTGGAATACTGTTTAAGTAGATGTGATGATACGTACACCTCCTGACAATGGGAAGCATTTCCCAATTGTTCAGGCTTGAGAGGGGCTTTGAGCTATTCCAGCTTCAGGTGATAGCTTTCAGTTCTTTCACTTACTCACTCACTTGAACAGCTTTAGCAATTTCCTTCCTTCCTTCCTTCCTTCCTTCCTTCCTTCCTTCCTTCCTTCCTTCCTTCCTTCCTTCCTTCCTTCCGTGTGTGGATGCATGTATGCATCCATGCAGCAAAGGGAAAAAAAGATGGAGACCGATAAAGCAAGGAAGAGTTTTCTTCCTCTGCACCATTGGTGCTGTCTGAACATCACTACCCTCAATCTTCCTTTCTATCTGCAACCCTGAGCTCCTGCTGTGTTCTTTCACATATTGGCTTCTTTGCAAGCAACAGCTAGAAGCACTGTTTTTTTCTCTTCTCTTGTTTTTTTCCATGCTTGATGCTTTTTGCAAAACAGCAAATATCTCACTAAGTCAGCTTCTCAGCTTCTCCTTTTTGCTTTGCCTTCCCACTTACTTTGTGTTTTAAAGTCATAGCAGTAAAATTATTCCACATAGTGATGCAATTTCTTAATATCCTGAAATCATAAAAACATAGAGTTGGAAGGGATATTTACAGTGCATTCAGAAAGTATTCAGGCCCCCTTCACATTTTTTAATTTTGTTATGTTGCAGCCCAATACTACAATT